TTAACCCAAATTCAAAGTTGGAGATCGAGTTCGTATTTTTAAATATAAATCATTGTTTCAGAAAGGTTACGTCGGCTATTGGACTAACGAGATTATTCATCGTTGATAAAGTAAACAACAAATCACCTCCCACGTATGAATTGATCGATCAAGACAAAGAACAAATCATAGGAAGGTTTTATCAAAATGAACTTCAAAAAACTGACTTTTAAAAATGAATCTCGAAAATGAAGATTTAGATGAAAGGTTAAGAAATTTAGATGTCGACAAGCATTTACGCTCTCTTAAATTAAGATTTTTTAAATTTAAATGTAAATTTATCTTCAAAATATTATTGAATGTGTTTTATCAGAATGTTATACAAGTTTTTTCAAACACAAACTACGTATATATTTCGTCAATTGGGTCTTCAGCAATACTTTCCGCCTACTTCGAAAAACACCTAAAAAAATCAACTTAAAAAATGATTGCGTTTGCGATAAATACGACCACAAATTTTCAACTTGTGAAATGGGCCAAGGAGTTGAACGTCTCGCCGTTTTATTATTGCATGCGAGATGAAATTGATGAACTGAAATACAAGAAAGGTAAATTTTACGCCATCACAAACATTCACACGTCGGATCAAAAAGGAGTTCATCACTCTGCTTTACACAAAGATTCTTCGAATAACTTTTATTTCTTTGATTCTTTCGGTCTAGAACCGACAGAAGAGATAACGAAAATGACTAGCAAACCAATCAAATGTCCTACGTTTCAAATTCAAATGCCAGGACAAAAGCTGTGTGGTCAGCTGTCGCTTTGGGTTTTATATCGGTTGAGTTTGGGAGAAAAGTTTGAAGAAATTATAATAATTTAACTCAATAAAAATGGCAAACAAGTTTGGATTAGGGTCTTTACCTCTAGAATCTAAAAATCCCATGAGTTCTACGGCGTTTATAAACAAAGCGAAACCTTTTTTCGTGGATCAACACCTTACAAGGGGATATCGATATGAACAATTTCAAAATAACTAATTTAAAGTTTCCAGGAAACGATAACGATGCCGTGAACAAGAAATATTTACTAGATCAAATAAACGCAATTCAAATAGATAAGGACCATGTTGAAAATAGAATAAATGACGTGAAAAGATTCATCAGACGAAATATTAAAAATCTTGTGGACGAACCCAAATTACAACAAGAGTTAACGAGTTTGAAACGTCTTATTCAAGTGGATAAAACAAGTGAGTTGATATCTAAATTAGACGATAAGATTACGAAGGTAAAAATAGACGTTTAATAGACAACCCAAATGTAAACGAGGATAGATTGAAACGAAAACTAACCGCTTTGGAAAGAAAACTTGGCGAATTGCTAGCAGAACTAGACAATACCGCGGACAAAACCGAGTTACAAAATTCGATATCCAATTTGAACGAAAAGATCGCGAAGCAAAAATCAGATGTTCAAGATATAATTAACACACTTCCCATTGACAAAGATACGTTGAAACAACAATTGACTGCTTTGGATACTAAAATCACGGACGAAAAAGAAGTGGGTGTGATTAAAAACTTTCTTCAAAATAAATTTCGAGATTATATGAAAAATTATATTAAAGAACAGGTCAATCTTTTGGTAACTAGAATTCATGACGATTTTTTGAGACAAGAGAGAAAGTTGAGCAAATTAGAAGCTATTGTCACGGACAAATCGTATTATTTCAATCTACCATTCGAAAGTGACACTGTCTACGATAGAAAAGACCAAATTTATAAATCAAACAAATACGGATTCAAAGCAGAAATAAAAGTGGGGTCACTCGCATACGGAGAACCTAAAAACGTATTCGATATCGGCGAAACGCAAGAGTTTTCTTTTCGAGGTAATTGTCTGATTCAAATAGAGTTTCCCATGAAGGTTAAAGTCAATAAAGTAGTCTTCAAACAAACCGGTAAGGCCGTCAAACATATTTCATTATTCAATGATGGTAATTTGGAAGAGAATATACGTTTGATTGATAAAAGGGATCAGGAAATTGAAACGAAAAATGGTAAATATGTAGACACCTTTAAAATGGAAGTAAAAAATGATAAGGATATCATTGGAATCAAAGATTTGGATATGATATTGGAGACGGAAAATCCACCATCAACCAACATTGACAAAATTCCACCACGCTTACACAAACACGGAAAAATAGAATCGAGCAGTCACGAGTTTTTAAAACTATATTTCGCTTTAGGTGAAAAATACACCTCTATCGATGTTCATAAAAGTCAACAAGAACGAGAGTTTATAGTACATTTAACGTTTGCCGAAGGTTCCGACTCCATCCTTCATGCTGGTGGTTATATTTTTAGAGCCAAGATAAACATCGAAAAAGAAAAAATAAAATATTCCTATCATCTTAAAGATGACCATACGAAAAAAGAAATGTCGTTAGTACGCGTAAATGTTTTTTACTATTAATACCCGCAAATATAATAATGCTATGCCAAACAAGCACGCTCTATATGATATTTCGTTGTTCCATTTATCGGAAATTCACTTAATTTAACGACTTAAAAAATGGAACTCGAAAGCAGACAACAATACATGATGGACAAACAAGAAGAGTTGAAAATAAAATTGAGACAGTGCAATACATGCAGGAAAACATGGAGTAGAATGGATTCTTTTTTCAAAACAGCGAGCACAGTTCTAA